CTCTAGTCAAAATTCGATCGGATTTATAAACTTTGAAATTGTACTCATGGGCGTAATCATGGTATGCTTCAGGCAATGTATTTCATGATTAAACGGTCCGTAGAAGCGAGCCAAAGAGCCATGGAATCCTCGATCGGGAGGTATTTCCATTTGTAATGCTTTGAGCATAAGTCTCCGAATGAAGATCATGGTGGAGGCTTAGTCATCTCTTCCATGCCATTGTTGGCTTCAATGGTTTTTCAGCTTCATGATAGTCAAGTGGAGATTCACGTCTTGTACCTCACATAAAGTGGTTTCTATTAGAAACGTCCAAATCAGGAAAATCAAACTTGTGACGGTTCGACAATCCACTGAATCGGAAGGAACAAGATTGTGATTGTTGCTATGGGAAGGAATCATCCATAAGTATCAAAGTTAAAACATTCGAGTTCTAAGACATGGTTTTCATGAAAAACGTCGGGATTTCATGGGTGTATTGTTTTATGAAATGTTCGGGTTTCAAAGGCACTAAATTTAAAACTACAGGTTCAATTTAGTTTATGAACGTTTAGTTCATAAAAGAGAGGCTACTGCAAGAACAGAGAATGCAATATACAACTAAGTGTAGTGGATTTAGGTTGCTTCAGGAACTCAAGTGTGAGTGCTTCGGGACTACGAAAGTGAGTCAACGGTTCAAAGAATAGAAATAAATTATTGAATCGTTAATGTCCAAAAGTGATCTTCAGGTCAATAATTTTGGATTCATTATCAGATTAATGGACTACATGTCACTTTTAATTAATTCAATAGATCGGGACTATTCGGGGTCGATCGTAGAAGCAAAATAAAATTTGTCAAGGCCCAGTAATTATTAATGTTGGCTGCAGGCCACACAAAAAAAATTAGGCCTAAATTGGGTTCGGGTAGGCTGCAATTGGTTGCCCAATAATGTGCAAAGCAAGTTGCATGCCCGCTGCACACTCACGGGCCGAGAAAAAGATCAGCCCAGCTGCAGGTAAGCAGGCCGAGGAAAAAAATAAGCCCAGCTGGGCTTTGGGTCGAGTGAACAGAAAGCCCGGAAAACGGGCTAGGTTGTCCTGAGGGAAGGGCCGAGGGCTTGAAGCCCATGCATAGGGACCCAAGCAGCAAGCTTGGTCCAATTTGGGCAGTAGGCCTAAAAGATTGTCCCAAGCTTCAGGCTTGGTGCGATTTCAGCGGCAAAAAAAAGGTCATTTTTCTTCCTTTTTTGTTTTTCTTTCTTTTTTTTTTTCAAAAAAAAAATATAGGGTTGAAAAACACGAATTGCTTCTAATTTTTTTCGATTCTTTGACTCACAAATTCCACATAGCATAATTACGTAATGCATGAAACAAATATATATATTGACAAATATATGAACATATAATATATATATATATATATATTATATGTTCATATATATGAAGGAATATAAACATAGGGGGTTCATGCATCATGGGAAATGTTTTCATGCTTCATGGTCGTTTCAAATATCTTACTTTATTTTAAGCGTACCTGATTGGCAGAAAACAATAAAAGTCTTTGAATTTGTAGAAATTCCTTCTCAGAAAGCCGAAATTGCATCTCTTATGCGTTGTATCACATTCAACACAGGAAAATTAAATTGAATCAATAGCATGTAGATTAATTCAAAAATAATAAATTAATCATAAAAAGAATGATTAAAACACAATACTCCCCTGATTGAAGAATAAATTATCTTTAGCGCAGCGTCAAGAGCGTGCTGATAACGTGTTGTAGGCATAATTTACTGAACAATTATAGAGGCCATAGAGAGAGAGAAAGGTGCGGCATAGATAGAGAGAAAGAGAAGAGAGAGATGTGTAATTGTGGGTGTGTGTTATTCTACCCCATTATGCCTTTATTTATAGTAGTAGGATAGGTAAAAACCTTTCCCTTTAGGATTACAATATTTAATAGATAATCTACTCCTAATAGGAATATAAGATACATTCTCATATCTACTAGGATTTACACAATCGCATTCCTATTCCAATAGGACTGCAACACAATGATATAGTTTCGATAAAGACGATGAAGATAAAGTTAAGTCATATAACAAGTCAATGGTAATAATTAGTTTAAAATATTCATTCACCAGATTTAAACATATGACTTCTTTTACAAGTGAAAAAAATATAATCGTAATTATTTAGTTTGAACTATTCATTTACCAGATTAGAGCCATCAATAATAAATGTATAAAAATATAACTAAACTGTAATATTAAATAGTAAAAAAAAAAAAGTTAGATTCTTTTAATCGACTCAAACGTCTCAATCAAAAAAGAAAAGAAAAAAAGCCCCGCACGTCAATTCCAAATGGAAATTTATAATTACACCATTTCCTTAAAAGTAGTTTGGTTGTTGAAATATTTAATCTTTTCCCCCAACAAACCACCACGTGATTACCTCCTGCAAAAGTGGTTATGGGATATTATGACACTTCCACTACAATACTAGTTGAAAATATTAGTATATTATAATTATTTAAGTTTACTTGTTAGTTAGTATATGGGTCTAGTCCATCCAAATTAGAATTTCTAGGTATTGCTCTCTATAAATATAGTTTATAGTTTAGTATGAATAACAAGTCATTCACAATGTAGTCTCTTAAGGTTTTGTAGCCGTTTCGTCATTCTCGTTTATTTGATAATATTCTTATTTTGTTAGTCTTGTTCATTGCGTACTTTAATATTCAATTTAGTATCAGAGCAGGTTTGATCATTCAGGTTCTTGATTCGTATTAGTATGTCTGTTTGTGTTGTTTGTTGTTTATTTCTGGTTTAAATTGTCGTTGGTGTAGTCTGAAAAACAAAAAATCTGGAAAAGAAAAACTACCATCTCGTAAAGTCTGTAATTGAAGCCACCAAGCTCAGTATCTATGACCACCCAACCATCGCCTGCATGACTCACTGCCGTCGCACCCAGATCCGTCCCGCATCAGATTAGCACTGCGCTGCGCACCACTCGTTGCCAGACCTGTTGATCAACCCGCACCCAATCCATTCATGGTTTGCCACTGCGGTACCCGCTGCCTAAGAGCCACTCACTTGCTGCTCACGTTTGCACTTGTTGTTTGTTGACCGTCATTACCGCTACCAAATAGAATCCAGGTTGTCGGTCCGAGGAACTGCTGTTGTTCGAGGCTACTCTGTTGGCCCCTGTCTTCAATTCTGATGAATCCAAGTATTGTATGATCCCATGTCTTCAATTATGATGAATCCAAGTATTGTATGATGATGACAATATATTTTGATCAGACGGACTTTTACTTTGATCAAAGTGTTGAAAAAAGACAAAAAAAAAAAAACTGTTTGATTTTTGTATGGCCCACACGGGCAATGAGAAAGAATTGGCTGGGAAATGATGGGCATTTTTGGTTTGAAGTTTTTTAAGGCCCACACGGATAAGTGTTGCGAGTTTGTTTGTCTGTCACTCAAGTGTTTAGACTTGTGACCACTTGAGTGATAGAACCTTGTTTTTGTTCGTTTCTTGCTCCAATTGAGATATGAAAATCTCGTCCGTTTAGTGACGGGTTCTTTTCATACTCTCAACACTAGCCAGTTTGAACAAGAATCAAGAATCAAGTCAAGTTAGCCAGTTTGAACTAGAATCAAGAATCAAGAATCAAGAATCAAGTCAAGTCGTCAAGTTAAGTCAAGTTCGCAAGTTCGCCAATCAAGTTAAGTCAAGTCAAGTTCGCAAGTTCTCCAGTCAACTCAAGTCAAGTCTAGTCAAGTTTGCATGTCTGTCAGTTTGCATCTGCTTGTTTGCAAACTCATGTCGTATACCGCCATGAGTTTGACCGGGGGTGTTGAAAAATATTAGTATATTATAATTAGTTGAGTTAGTATATGGGCCTAGCCCATACGAATTAGGATTTCTAGGTATTGCTCTCTATAAATATAGCTTATAGTTTAGCATGAATAGCAGGTCATTCACAATGTAGTCTCTTAGGGTTTTGTAGCCGTTTCGACATTCTCGTTTATTTAATAATATTCTTATTTTGTTAGTCTTGTTCGTTGCGCACTTTGATATTCAATTATATTGTCTAGTACAATCAAACTCGTCTCCTCATTTTCTTTCTTTTCTTGTGTATGTATAACTTTTTTAATAAATTACGCATTCTAAACTATAAATGTTTTACAAACAACTTGTAAATTGTTTCCAAAAAAAAAAAAAAAAAAACAACTTGTAATTCAATTAATTAAAATATATATTTTTGTATTTGAAGTTCTGAGTTTAAATTTTTTTTATATTCTTTATTTCTTAGGTATCGTTTGACAAAGTTGGTGAACGCTTCTGTAACCTTAAACTCGTTACTCTATTCGACTGAACTTGTTGAGTCCGCGTCCATCGAGAGTCGGTAACCTTCGTTGTGTCTACAACTGTAATAGATTGGACAATTCATAAAATCCTATGAATACTAAAGGTAGAGGTAAATGATTTTTCATTTAAAGTACACTAAAACAAGATTAGATATGAATGAAACTTATCCTTCTAATCTAACCATTTGAGAGGAAATTGGAATGGATAAGTTTCCTAAATGAATTAATCCATCTTCTAGTTTTACATTTCACTCGATAGCTTCATAATTTTTTGTAATCTTTCAACAGAATTGAGATAAGAATTCATCCATTATAAGCAAAGATAAATTATGACACTAATTGCACTTGCTGCCATATTATATTCAAATTGTGATTTGAAAACAAAGAAACATGACTTTTTTCAAAGAAAACATTACAATAATATATTTTTAATAAAGAGGATGAAGATAAAGTTAAGTCATATAATAAGTCAATGGTAATACAACAACAACAAAGCCTTTTCCCACTAAGTGGGGTCGGCTATATGAATCCTAGAATGCCATTGCGCTCATTTGTGTCATGTCCTCCGTTAGATCCAAGTACTCAAGTCTTTTCTTAGGGTCTCTTCCAAAGTTTTCCTAGGTCTTCCTCTACTCCTTCGGCCCTGAACCTCTGTCCCGTAGTCACATTTTCGAACCGGAGCGTCAGTAGGCCTTCTTTGCACATGTCCAAACCACCGGAACCGATTTAATAAGTCAATGGTAATAATTAGTTTAAAATATTCATTCACGAGATTTAAACATATGATGACACATTCTGACCCAGAATGTCCACTAGGACTCCGAATCGAGTTGCGCTGGCCGACACCTGGAAGGTGACGAAACCATAAAGTGTGATGATGTGGAAAAAATGTGAATAAATTTAAACCTAAGAGTGCCTAATTACCAGAGTGCACTGGTAAGCAGGAAGGAACCCACTTCACACGTGACGTTAGAGCATAAGTAAGTACAGTAGAGTGGATTAAGAATCGTACCCTCGATAGAATCTCCAATACTAAGAATCGCCACGAATCTTCGACTATAAGAAAGCTCAACTAATAAAACCTAGAGGGTGAAAACAAAACAAGGGTGAGTGGCCCTAGAAATGAAATTTTAATAGAAACCATCTAAAGCATTATAACCCTTCGCTGCAACACCTGTATAGTTTCCAGAAAATCATACCATGTGTCAATGTGAAATCAAAAGTATATCAACAGTAAACCATAATTATACCATAACACAGCATCTCATCAACAATATCAATAATCAAGTGATTAATAACCCATACTAGCACGCAAGTCGAAGTCACCTATGGTGACCTATACGACTGCACATATATCTCATCAATCAATGTTAACTCGTAAGTCGGAGTCACCTATATTGACCTGTACGACTTATCCATATCTCATCACATGTGCTAGCTCATAAGTCGGGAGTCACCTATAGTGACGTGTACGACTTATCCATATCTCATCACATATGCTAACTCATAAGCCAGGAGTCACCTATAGTGACATGTACGACTTATCCATACGACTTATCCATATCTCATCACATGTGCTAGCTCATAAGTCGGGAGTCACATATAGTGACATATACGACTTATACATATCTCATCACATATGTTAGCTCATAAGTCGGGAGTCGCCTATAGTGACCTGTACGACTTATCCATATCTCATCACATGTGCTAGCTCATAAGTCTGAAGTCACCTATAGTGACATGTACGACTTATCCATATCTCATCACATATGCTAGCTCATAAGTCGGGAGTCACCTCTAGTGACCTGTACGACTTATCCATATCTCATCACATATGCTAGCTAATAAGTCGGGAGTCACCTATAGTGACATGTACGACTTATCCATAGCTCAATAAGTATACCTGCACACGAGTCGGAACCACCTAAGGTGGTCTGTACGACATAACTGGGTGTAAATAAATACGTTCAAGTGCTACAATCACGTGAAGACTGTGCGAATAATCGCGATTCACCTATGAGTTGGAACCACCTATAATGGTTTGTACGACAGGCTTATGCACCTACCTTGGATCCCAGGTGAACGTAAGGTGCGGGAGGTGAACATTACATGAAGGACTGTGCACTGGCCACGGGAGAGAGCACTAACACCGGGGTGCAGGTTTATGAGCTCTAAATGCATCTCATGTGACATATACAACTCATAGGCAACTTGTACGACAATGTCGGAGTCGCCTAACACATAATGTGATCATGCCATAACTCACTCATTTCAACTAATATCATTAACTCACCTGAACTTACCTGTGTATTCCGAGTTCATCTCTGCACTTCAAAACTTTCATAATAATTTTGTGCATGTAATGTACACATGGATATGCCATAATGCAAATCTAAAACTGAACCATATCATAGTATTTTTCCAATACACACACACACATACACACACACACACACACACACACACACACACACACACACACACACACACACATATATATATATATATATAATGTGGGGTAAAATGACAATCTATAACGCCCTACTCCCGAATTATTTATTTTGGGAAATAATTATCAGGGATAAGTCCAACTAAACACTAGTTTAATTAACTATCATTACTTACGTTTCCTTATTTCAGTTTCTTGATTCCTTCCACATTGATTTTGACCAACATTCAATTACTAAAAACATAAGGTTAAATCTCATATTTTCACCAATTTCCTTCACATTGTTCAATTCCCAAGCAAGGTTTTGTTTCAAATATTGAATGGCTGCATCTAACGTCTCGTTAGACTGCCTACGTACCCTAAACAAGGATCAAGCCATTTGTAGTTCACAATAGTACTTCAAAGCATTCACATTAATCATAAGCAATAATTGATTTATAAACATTTATGGAATTGTCAATCATATATATATATATATATATATATAATACACGATAGAATGGAAAAGACCCACTCACCTGAGGTCTATGCCACGACTCCCTAGCACGCATGTCAAGACATCACGAACCATCGTCGCCTGTAGCCAAGTCCAATTTGACTTAGAAGAGCCCCAATTTTGCTAAAACCCGTTGGAAACCCTAGTTTTGGGTGTCCTCAATTCGGCTCTATAGCAACTCTGACACCCCCAAACTTGTTGTTGGTGGTGATTTGATGAAATCATTTAAGAATTTGTTGAATCTCGACCAAGAACCATAGCACCCATTGGTGTGATTTTTTTCCTAAAATTACCACCAACTTCCTTCTAATTTTGGATGGAAAAGGAAGAGGGAAGGTTATGGAGTAGGTTGCAGGTAGTGGGAAGGTTTGAATCGTCAGAAAAATGGCCGAATTTGGCCGTGGTGCTTGTCGAGTGGAGCGGGTCAAGGGGAAACCCCTTTCATTTTCTTCTCCCTCCTTTCCCTCCTTTCCCCCTTCTCTGGTTGGTCACCTCCTCCTTTCTCCTCTACCCATTCGTCTACCCTCTCTCCCTCATCTCTCTCATTAGGCAATAGCCCTTTCCTTTTTTTTTCTTCCTTATCTCGTTCCCCCCACTTCTTCTCCTCTTCTTCCTCTTAAAAAAATAACTAAATGATAAAAAATTATAAACATTATAAAAATTAACAAAAATGTAAATTTTGGGACGGGATGTCACATATGACTTCTTTTACAGGTGAAAAAAATATAACCGTAATTATTTAGTTTGAACTATTCACTTGCGAGATTATAAGCCTCAATAATAAATATATAAAAATATAACTAGACTGTAATATTAAATAGTAAAAAAAAGTTAGAGTCTTTTAATCGAGTATTTAACAAATATAACCAAAAATTAACCCTTAATTTTAAAAATATCATTTTTTTTATAAAACCTTTCACATATATCCAAAATTTCACCTGAATAGACACAAATACCGTCAAATTTAACAATCAAATAAATTAAAGGCTTTTTAGCCAAAATAATTCGTGATATTGACATAACTCCTTAATCTGGTCCTTAACAATTAATGATAATCAATAGTAATGTTCTTGAATTTGTCTATCGTGAATCATTTTTGTCTTTCTTTGAATTTGTCCATCTTGATCATTTTAGTTTTTTCATGAAAAATATGTCAATTGCTCTGTTAGTGTGATGATGAGGTGACATGTGAGTCTCACAAATACAATCATATAAGGACATGTGGATTAACTTTAAAAACTATTTTTATATTTAAAACTAAAAATGATATTAGTATAAAAAATAAAAAATAAAAAAAAGTGTTGAAGGCATGATTGAAATTATGCGGCTCCCACTTGTGGTAACCGCGATGATGTTCAATGTCGATGAGAAGGGGGTCGAAGGGGATAGGGTTGTGGTGGTGGAGAGTAGAAGCAAAGGTGAAGTTGGACCGGAGCTTAAGGCGACAGTAGCTAAAAAATCCTTTAATTTATTTAATTGCTAAATTTGAGGGTATTTGTGTCTATTTAAGTGAAATTTTGGATATATTTGAAAGTTTTTATAAAAAGTAATATTTTTGAAATTAAGAGTTAATTTTTGGCTATATTTAATAAATACTCTTTTTGATAATCCTTAAACTTCTGTATCAAAAAAGAAAAGAAAAAAAAGCCCCACACGTCAACTCTAAATGGAAATTTATAATTACACCATTTTCTTAAAAGTAGTTTGGTTGTTGAAATATTTAGGACTCGTTTGGATATTCTTTTAAAATGATTGAAAACGTTTTTGATGAAATTGATTTTGAGTTCTAAAAACACTTTAAGTGCTTTTTTGAAGAAGCACCAGATATGTACTTCTTGCAGGAAACACTTAAAATATTTTTTCAAGATTCACTTGAATTTTTATTAAAGATTAGTTTCAAAAATATTTTTACCAAAAATACTTTTAATTATTTTAAAAACAAATCCAAACAAGTTTAGTCTTTTCTCCCAACTAACCACCACGTGATTACCTACTGCAAAAGTGGTTCTGGGATATGACACCTCCACTACAATATTGTCTAGTACAATCAAACTCGTCTCCTCACTTTCTTTCTTCTCGTGTAAGCATAACTTTTTTTAATAGATTACACATTCTAAACTACTAGCCTCTTGCGTGTTAATTGACCTTTTTATATTAGAACATGTTTCGTTTTTAAAATTTTTTTTATTTAAATATCTAATTTATATTTTTATTAAAAATCATTAAAAAAAATGAAGCAAAAACAGGAAACCTAACCACTTTGGAATAATTCTAAATCGGTCCAAACATTTTAAAATATATCAATAGTTACGTACCGTTCGAAAATTGAACATGTATTAGACCATCAACGTTAAGTGATGACCTGAATAATTATCAAAGTAAATTTTCATTCCTTCTAAAGCTAAAACAAATTTATTTTAACTTGACTCAAAAGTTGTGAATTTAAAACTGACTAGTTTTTTGCCACACGCATATGCACGTGGCAATTGGTCTTTTTATATTAGATCATGTTTCGTTTTTTAATTTTTTTTATTTAAATAGCTAATTTATATGTTTCTAAAGTTTTAAATTTATATTCATTGAAAATTAAAAAGTGGTGAATCAATTAAACTTTTTTTGGTTCATTTGTAATTCTTGAAATTCTTAAAGGGCAATCTATGGTATTTTGAATGTTTCATCCTTATAGGGTGCTCACTTTATATATATATAGATACATGTTTTACAAACAACTTGTAAATTGTTTCCAAAAAAAAAAAAAAACTTGTAATTCAATTAATTAAAATATATTTTTTTGTATTTGAAGTTCTAAGTTAAATTTTTTTTATATTCTTTATTTCTTAGGTATCGTTTGACAAAGTTGGTGAATGCTTCTGTAACCTTAAACTCATTACGCTATTCAACTGAACTTGTTGCCTCCGCGTCCACTGAAAATCGTTAACCTTTGTTGTGTCTACAACTGTAATAGATTGGACAATTCATAAAATCCTATGAATACCGGAGGTAGAGGTAAATGATTTTTCATTTAGAGTACATTAAAACAGGATTAGATATGAAGGAAACTTATCCTTCTAATCTAACCATTTGAGAGGAAATTAGAATGGATAAGTTTCCTATATGAATTAATCCATCTTCTAGTTTTAAGTTGGATACAAATTTTTCATTGTTCGTTCAACATTTATTCAATATAGTGGCTATTCAGTCTAATATAATCCTAGACACCAAACGAGGTCTTAATCATAAACATATTGTGAATTAGAGGAATAAGAATGTTGAAACCGAATCTCATCTTCCACAATCAAATATAACTGAGTACGATTTCGCTCATCACCTTTTGATTCGAATAATTTTTTTTTTTAGCACAAAAGAAATCTTACATTGATTAACACTAAAAGGTCAAGAAATAGTTTGAACCTGGAACACAAATTCAAACACTTATTTCATATTAATAAGGTACACACCCCTCACAACTTCACCAACAAAAAAAAAAAGAAAAAGAAAAATAGACAAAGCCACCCACTTCCACACCACTCACAACTTTACCAACAAAAAAAGATGGAGAAGAAAAATAAACAAAACCACCCACTTCATAATATTTATTTATTCTGGGGCTTATTGTTTATTTATTGGGGAAGCTTGTTAATCTTACAGTAAACATAGTCGCCGTACTTCTTGGTCTTGTACTTTGGTTGATTAACGGCGTTCACAAGCTGTGGATGAGGACCCACGACGTGGTCTGCTGGCGGCTCCAAGAACACAGGCCATGAGATTCTTGTCTTATCCTTGTTCACAGTGGTTCTGTGCAGGACACTCGTGTACTTTCCATTGCTCATTATCTACGTCACCACAATTAATTAAATTAGTGATTAGAAAAGGAGGTTTGATGAAGGGTTTTCATTGTGCCGAAAATAAAACTCGGTATACAAAATATGATGATACAAGTGGTTTGATACTTAAATTTTTTTTTTAACCATTTATATTATAATACTTAATATACCGAACCGTCTTCTAGCCACACTGAAAAATTTCTCAAGTTTGGTGAGTCACTCATAAATGCATGCAATGATATAACAAAAATTTGGGACCATTAACTACAATAATGCAGGAGCACCGTAATACATGATGGTCTTCTAACTGTATTTATAAAAGGTGTTGCGGAACTCTAAATATTTTATCTTGCAGTTTTCTGCATATGAATTTTATTTGGGATTTAAAATTAGAAGCCTAAAACTTCTTTAGATTATGGATTGAAGGTGTATTTTTTATACTGATATATTTATACATTAAAAGTGGAGGAATAAATCGGTATTAAACTCGTCATTTACAACATTTAAATTTAAAACCTCTTACTCATAAATGAATGAATAATCCTAAAGTGTTAATTAAAGGTTTGTTTGTCTGTTTTTCTTTTTTGTTGTTGTATTAAGGAGCAACATGCATATTATGATTAGGTGGGTTACCGTAAGTAGTTTATCAATATGTACCTCCATCTGATCACCAATGTGGATGACAAGGGCATTAGGGATGTACTTAACGTCGTACCACCGGCCATCTTTGCAAGCCTGGAGGCCCTGAACATCGTTGGGGACGAGAATGGTGACGGTGGACATGTCGGTGTGAGCCACCACTCCAAGGGCAAGATCAGGGCGAGGACATGGTGGGTAGTAGTTAATTTTGAGAAGGTACTCTAAGTTATCACCACCGGCAGCCTTCTTTAACTCTTGTCCTTCAAGCCCTAACCCTAAAGATAGCAGCCTAAATAGCTTTTCCACCACGTTGTGCAAATGCTTAGCATACTCTTCATTAGCTTCCCTGCACCCCATCAAATTTTAAATAGTTAATTATTAATTATTTCCATTTGCTCTATTACTGTTGAAAGAAGATTTAAGTGCATTGTAATCTCATACATCTTTAAAACTTTTCAATATCATACATATACTATTATTTCACTTTAATTTCATAAACTGTTAAAAATCTGTTAAATTAACTATTAAATGATAATATAACAAAAATAAATTTCACATTTATGTTGCCGTGGCTCCCAAACTTCTACCAGATGGCCAAACAGCTATAAAAATATTTAATTAACAAAATATTTATGATTAAAACTTAAAAAGTAGAAAAGGATAAAAAAAAAAAAAGAGCCCTAAATCTTTCACTTCACCGCCATTCCCACCCAAACTTCTGCAAATGCAGAACCCCGCCCCCAATCTCAGCGTTTTCCTCAATTGGTAATTTTGAATTTTTTTAGTTTTTGGTTTCTTGGTTTTGCTGGGTTTGTGAGTATTTGAAGTGGAATGGGTGGATTAGGCTCTAGATATTGTTTGGGAAAGATAACATGATGTGTTTGGTTAGAGGAAAAATGAGAGAATGTGCAGGAAAATTTTGGGATTTCTCTGTTTTTGTTTTGAGTGTGTGATTTTGGGAACTTTTTCAGTTTTTGGCTTCTGGGATGGAGATCGACGGATCTGGAGCGGGATGTGGGCAGGCAGGAGTTCGAAGAAAAAAAATATTGAAGACGCCACTGATGGATCTACTG